AAGTACCTCTTCAGGAGAAGAGCTGACAGGACCTGCAGCAGGGGGACCCTGTTTGGACCAAATGGCCAGGGCTTCTTTGCAGACTCTTCCTTCACCCTGCACTGCATTTATTCATGCCACTTTTTGCCTCTAAATGGTCACATAGTTATCTCTTCGTGGGTGACACAAGCAAACAGAAAAATCTGAGTAGTTACTGAGTTCCTCAAAGCGCAGACCCCCTTTCACTTTCCTTCAGACGACAGCCTTTGTAAGTGCGTTTCCAGCGTGCTCCTTTAGACTTCACTCCTCGCTTACACAGAACCCACTAAAGCTGCAGCAGTTCACAGCTCGACAGCTCCTCTGTGTGACATAATCGCGACCTCCCGGTGCTTCTGTGACAGCCTGAACTGCTGCAGTTCTGGGAGACACTGACCTTAGCCAGCTGCTCTCATGTTTTCAACACTTTTTCTTCCTGAACCTGCTGTTGTGACCACGTGGTCCCCTGATTCATTCTCTCTTCTCTGTCTCTGTTCTCTTGTAAGAAAAGTCATTAGAAATTATAAAATTGCTTTATTGCCTTCTTATTCTATTGAAAATTCTATAAACAACATTGGATAAAATAGTGTTTATGATTGAAACATGCGTACTCTTTGCAGGTATATTAAAGGTACATTTAAAGAATGAATATATAAAGGTATATATAGAAGGAATATTCACAAGGATAGCCTTGGGGCTGTTGTGTTAACTTTTTTCTGCACAGATAAATTGAAACCGTTAGACGAAACATCCAAAAGTGTTAATAGTCAGATATTTCTTTTACTACAAAAAGGAGATTTCATGTGGCTCAACCTCTGGTTCTGGGTTCTAGGTTACTCTCCTAGAGCTGTGTCCATGAAGTCGAGTTCAGCATTTGACAGAGAAGTGCTGTACAGAGTTGGGAGTTGAGTCCTAAATTTCTGCTTCCCAGCCCACATTCCATGTATTATCAGAAATACTGGTTAGGGTGCATCATCCTTGTAGATATCAAACTCATGAGACTTAATTCATGAGATTTAAACTCAGTATGAGTCCCTGCTGTAGTGATTGACCTAAAGCAAGCATTTAGGACAGCAGCGTGAGTTATTTGTCGGACCAGTTACTTTTACCATTTGATCCCTCTTGGATCATGTGTTCAAAGGTGAAAACAAAGCTGTGAGGCCCTTCACGAGGACACAGAGGGGACGTGAATCCTAGAGGAGACGGAGTGCGACGCGGTGCAGCACTTCCTGGAGCCCTGCAGGTTTGCTGGGTGAAGGCTCTGCTGCCTGCTGCCTCTGTGTTCTGAGTTCTCCAGAGAGCAAAGGTCAGAGGCCACAGGGTGCCTGTCTCTCTCCTTCCCCTTGTCCTTCCCCTGGCACTCTCACATGGGGCGCTAGTGCAAAAGAGTTTTCAAGCATGCAGGAAGATCCATAAAGATTTCCTAAGGCTTAGCTTTCTATTTGAAAAAACTAAATAGTCTCAAATTTAAAATATTGGGCCTGGCATGGTGGCACATACCTGTAATCCTGGCCTTCCTGAAGACTGAGGCAGGCAAGGAAGTTCATGAATTTAAGACCAGGTCAAGACCAACACTGTCTCAAATAAATAAATAAATGGGTCTTTTTTAAATTGTAAACTTAAAATGGTATATTGCTAGGTACCTAGAATGTCTGTATTTTTAAATTTTGGAAACTGGAAGATGAATAAGTTTGTTTTCATTGTGTTCTTAAGTAGTAAAGTTTTCTGTAATTTAAAAGCAAAGCAGGGCCAGGACTTTAGCTCAGTGGCATAAACACCTGCCTGGCAAGTGCAAATTTGTGAGTTTTATCCCTGGTATCAAGAAAAAAGAGAGGGGGAGAGAAAGGAGAAAGAGAGAGAGAGAGAGAGAAGCCAAGCCTGGCATGCAGTGGTGGCCAATAATCCCAGCACTCTAGGAGCCTGAGGCAGGAGAATTTTAAGGTCAAGCCTAGCCTGAACGATGTAGCAATTTAGCAAAATCCTGTTTCAGAACAAAAAATAAAAGAGGACTGGGAATGTAGCTCAGTGTGAAGGTCCTGAATTTAATCCTCAGTGGGAAGGCTGGGCTAGGATGGTGGGGATGACATCCAATTATTTTCCCATTATTACAATTAAGGAAAGAGGTACAAGTATAGCTGAATTGATACTCTGGAGCCAGTGGCCAAGTTCCTGCCGTATTGGTTATTTGCTGTTTGAACACTGACAGCAAGTTAACCTTGACTTCCCTTGGGCCCTGAGGAAATAGAGCCCAGTTCCCAGGGAGAGAAGGTAGGAGCGAACCAGAAAGACTGTCCAGGATATTGATTCTCGCTATCAGCCGGCCAGCGAGCTGCTTTTCTTTACATCATCTCGTTTAACTCTGAGCACTATTCCTTCTTTCCAGAGGGGGAAATTAGGACTCAGCTTAGTGCTGTGCTGAGGATTCACAGCTCATAAATGCAGAGCCAGATTCACAGCTAAAACCCACAGCCAACTCATTCAGATGCCGAGTGTGTGATGCCCAGAACTCTGGGAGACCAAAAATATTGGGAGAAAAGGGGCCATTGAAATATCTCCTGTGTGCCAGCCTAGGTGGTAGATTCTTAACACACATCTTCTCAATTAACCGACCCAACCATGCTGTGATTTGGGTAGTATCACCTCAAATTACCACTTCGAGAAGTTAGATGACTTTCTGGTCACAGCAGTAAGAGCTGAGGCTGTGATTTGAATCTAGTCTGTTTTGCTTTCACCATGAATCAAAGAAGTAATTGAACAAACATAGAGTTTTGCAGTGGTAAAAGACAATGATAATAAAAGTCTGAAAGTGTTAGAAATATGCTCATCCTAATACCCACAAACTAGCAGTCATAGTCTTGAACTAAACAGCCTGAAAATCTTTAATATTGTTCTGTACTTTGCTAAATGTAAATTCCCAGTTTTCTGTGACCATAGAAAATTCCCCAGATGAATTTTAAATTTGTTTTTTGATGAGTATGACTTCCACGATCTCCCAGATTAGAAACGAATTCCCAGCCCCCAGGAGGCAAGCAGATGGATGTCTGATATGTAGTTCAAATGGATTGAGTCTGAGCCAAATGTAGATAAATTCAAGTAACCAGACCTCCAGTGTAACTGAAATTTATTTTTGACATTTGAATTGCAGGAGAATAAAGTAAATTAGAGGCAAATACCCCCCCTTGAAAGCTTTTATTGTGGTTTATTCACATCAGAGACTCACACTGAACATGTGCTGGGGGCGTGTTTGTCCTTCATGTTCTGGTTGTTGTGTAATATTCTGTTAGAGTTGATGTGTGTGGCCAGGACCTGGGGTAAGGATTAAGTGATGTGGAGTCCACCCCGGCAAGAAAGGAACGAAGATATCTGAAATATATCCACCAGTGGGCTAATTATGTTTCACTTACCTAGAAAAAGTAAGTGGAATATTCCTAAACTGAGCTAATTAAAGCATTATCTGCTTGGGCTACAAGTAATGATAAAATAAGAAAATTACAATCAAATCCCAGTGGCACTCTGCTTCATTCGTTTCTCTTTCTTAAGAGTTCACTTCTTTTAAGCCGTGTGTGGTGGCTCACGCCTGTAATCCCAGCACTCGGGAGGCTGAGGTGGGAGGATCGTTGTGAGTTCGAGACCAGCCTGAGCTACAAAGTGAGCTCAAGGCCAGCCTGAACTGCAATGTGAGATCCTATCTCAAAAAAAAAAAAAAAAAAAAAAGAGTTCACTTCTTTCTAAGCAGTTTTTAAAAGATGAACTTGTGAAATAAGAGGAAAGCTGGTTCTACCACAGTGAGAACAAAGGTTCCAATAGTCAACTTTTGCTCTTTTGAGCCCTGCCTCTTACATCACAAGACTGTCAGCTACACCTGACTGGGTTGAGCTTCCGCGTTGGTGGTGACACTGCCCAGGAGGTTCTGGTGAGTGGGAGGAGGGCACCTGTTGACTGCTGCAGTGTGGAGCAGGACCTGCCTGGACCAGCCTCAGGGCCTGGCCGGTTCACTCCCTCATTCATCTTGATTTGTCCCCTTCCCTCAGCCCACATATGCACACACACACAATGTAACCCTGTTCCTGGGAAGCTGCAAGGTTAAATTTCCTTAAAGTGCCAGAGTCCCATTAGAAACCACTGATTGAAGACAGGTGTGAAAGTGTATACCTGTAGTCCGTACACTCTGAGAGGCTGAGGTGGGAGGATCACAAGTTCCAGCCCAGCCTGAGCAACTTACTAAGATCTGGTTTTTTAAAAAATAAAATTTTTTTAAAGGGCTAAGAATGTAGCAAATGCCCTTCAGTCAGTTCCCCAGTATCACACAGACACACACATAGCCTCTGAACATATGTTTAATAAAATATTTTGTATAAAAATAAATATACCCAAACCTGGAAGACCCTGTACGTCATATAACCAGAGAAGTGCTGTTCTTGGTGCCGTCTGTTCCTTTCCTAGAATATATTTTGCTTTGTCTCTTTAGTAATTTTTGTTGTTGAACTTTGGCTTTTTCAAAATTCTAGTATCTCCTGCTTGCCTTTTAGGGACCTATGTAGTACATTGGAGCTTTTCAGTTCCTAGAGCACAAATTTTGTAAGAACTAAGATCAGAGACTTTAATTTCCCATCCTGTTTCCATGTGACTGCTGTCTTTGTAACTGTGATAGCCAGATGCTCTAACGGGCTACTACCACGGACTGGTCACCTGAGCTCAGGTCGTTGGTTTTTGGATGTGTCCTTCTCACTGAACTGTACCCTTCTTGAGGGTGGAGGTTATAGCTGCTTCATCTTTTCATTTCCTGAATTTGGCCTTGAACCTGATAAAAAGCTTAGTCCTGGGGCTGGGGATTTAGCTTAGCGGCATAAGCACCTGCCTTGCAAGCAGGCGGTCATGAGTTCGATCTCCAGTACCGATAAAAAAAAAACAAAGCTTAATCCTAAATAGATGAATGTTTCCTGCATACATGGTAAGAAACTGTGTCTTTTTGTCTCATTTTATAGCGCCTGACAGCTGTAAAGTGCAAGATAAGAAAACTGCCTCCAACCGTCCCTCCACTACAATTTCAGGACAAAATAGCAGCCACTCAGGAAATAAACCAGGTATATTTCATGGCATTTTATTTTGGGGAAGTAAAAGTTCTTCAAATGCTGATAAATTGTAAACTAACACTAGAGTTTAGGAGAGCTTGGAATCCTACCATAAGACACATGCTCAAACTTTTTTGTGTGAGTATAAGTCTAAGAACCTCTTAAAGCCTTGATTTTCTCTCTTTAAAATGGAGATCCAGATGTAGAGCCTGCTTGCTTCTCAGAATCTTTTTGATAGTTCAGAGGTACCCACCATTGAGGTATTTTGTGTGACTTTGTTTACTGTCAAGCAGTGTATAAGAGTTAATAAGTTTATCACCACTTTAAATTGTGGCTATATTCATGTGACTGTGCGTATATGACTATTGCAACTTTTGCTGCAAGCCCAGCATTCTTGCATATCTCTTTTGTGACTTTTCAAAAACACTTAAAGTAAAAGTAATGTTTACACATAGCAAAGCTCCCAAAGAATCATGCTTTTGTTCTCTGTTCCCTGCAAGAATTGTACACCTACACAGTAATTTCATTTAATAACCTGTGATTCATGATCTGCTCCTCTCAGTGATACAAAAAAACAAACAGTCTGTAAACATAATGCAAACAGTTGAATCGACAGCCAGTTTCTCTAGGTATCCCACTGCGGTTCTTGGAAGGGATGAGAGACAGTGGAACAAAGGGAAAGCAACCTGAAGTCTGGAGAAGCTGTTTGCTTCAGGCCGCTTTCAAGGCCACAGTCACTCAAGAAGAGCGCATCAGTGAGGATAGAGATAGAAATAACCACATCTAAGCTCATGGAATATATTGTGTGTTACCCTTAATTTTGAAAGTTTTTTTTTTAATGTAGAAAATATCTGGATAAATCTGGTCTGTCGTGTAGAAGGAAGACAATAGCAAGTATTGTTGCAAGTGTTGCTCGACCAGCTTTTGGTGGAAAATGATGCACAGTTTCAGTGTGGTTTTAATGAGCAGCTGAGGTTTCCCTCTGCAGTCAGCTTGCCTGTTCATTCACTCGCTTACCCGTCCATCTACCCCACTACCTCCCAGCCACCACCTAATATTTACCCAGCAGAGTCTTCTGTGCCCTGGAGTGAGAACAGACAACATGATCTGAGCTCATTTGAGTGAACTCTTGTTTCTTACGCTCTAGGGAGCATCCCTGTGGAAGCAGAAGTTTGTTTTACCATGAGAATTTAATATAGCTAAAGTGTTGTAGCCTATTTCTCTGGCTCTTTGCTTCACCGTTACTTCTAATGTCTACCATCCTTGCCTGGGCAGTTAGTGTCTGCACGTCCTGATAACTCACTCACTCGTGTAGAGTCATGGAGTCCCATAATGTACCAGTGGGTATATTATTGCTGAAAGGCACAGGCCCGACCCTCCAGGAGACAGTATAGGGGAGCGAAAAGACTGTGCACAGATCCCTGTGACAGTGCACGGTGAGGAGAGATGAGCACAGAGGCCATACGCCTCCCATCACAGAGCTGCTCCGTGTACTTTGCTCAGGTGACACAACGAGCTGCCTCCTTTCTGATCGTGTCTGTTGACCATCACTGGTTCTGTATGTGCATCCTTGTATATGCAAATAGGCAAAGATAAGGCTCTTGTTTAAAGAACTATCATCTTATTTTCCTGAGCTTCTCCAAAGGATAATTTGAAAGGTTATGGTGAAGGGTTGGGCTATAATAAAACCTTTTAATTTTATCGAAATTTGTCTAAAGTACTTTGTTGGAGCCAGGCATGGTGGCGTGAGCCTGTAATCCCAGCACTCAGGAGGCTGAAGCTGGAGGATAGTTGCAAGTTCAAAACCTGAGCTACCTAGTGAGTTTAAGGCCAGCATGAACTGCATGGTGAGGCCCTGTCTTAAAAAGAATAAATAAATAGATAAATAAATAATAGTACTTTTTTAGTTTTCATTCTCTAGGATTTAACATGGGAAAAAAATATGCTATTTTTGAGTATTGTCTCCAATATTGCTTCCAGTTGTGAGTATACTAATAAATTTATAGTACTGGTACATGAGTGAATTTCAGTTAAATTCCCTTTCCTCCATTACAGGCACATGTCTGTAATCCCAGCTACTTGAAAGGCCAAGGCAGGAGGATTTCAGGTTCTAGACCAGCCTGGAAAACTTACTGAGACCCTGTATCAAAATTCAAAAAACAAAATCAGATCAAAAGTGTATTTCAGTGCTCCATAGGCTCAATCCACAGTACCACAGATCCTGGCATAACACATCCAGCTGACAGGAGTCGCACAGGCTCTTCCTAAGTTAAGGAACGTCCTGTCTCATGTCATCTAGCAGGGATCATTGCTCTGTGCTGTGAATGCTCAAAGCCAGACCCAGAGAGACAGCTTGTGATGTGGCAGATCTGTTTGCATTCCCTGCTTCTCAAAGGGGCAGGTGGTTCTCCAGAACTCCGGTCAGCTCTCCCCAAATTCTCTATAGTTTGCCCCTTTTAGGAGAGTTATAGCCCACCCCGTGGACCTGAGAAAAACAGAAACTCCAGTTCACTAAAAATCCCTCTCAATTCCTGTCCCTCTGCTGTCTCCACTATAGGTCTTTGAGCCACTAAAACTTCACTTTCCCACATTGTTTATAAGGACTTTTCCTTCAAAGAGGAATGTACGGCTTGGATTCTGCCAGCCTGCCCTTGATGGCAGCACCAGGCCCTCTAGTGACTCTGTAGCTGCCTCAGAGTGTAGAAGCACACAGGACCAAGTTAGAGATTGTTTTCTTATTTCAAAAAATAACCATAATAATGTGGCTGAGTGAATCAGTGTGTGGCTAGCCCACAGCAGTATTGGGAGTGAAACAGTGATAATACATGCAAAGCTCTAGCAGAAGTTACAGAGTATAAACAACACTTGGGGGTGCCCACCAGTAACCCCTGCTTTCAGGAGTCTGGGGAAAGAAGACCCCAAGTTCAAGGCCAGTCTGGACTGCACAGAGAGCAGCTCTCTCCAAAAAAAAAAAAAAAAGAATAGATGTGATTTAGTGATTTTCTGAGAAACCCTGTCAATGGAAGTTTATTTTCTTTCAAAGTCGGGCGACCCTGTTTTCAGGCTTCTGAGGGGCAGTTCGGGTTTCTGCACATCATCAGAGTGTTGACAGCACTCTTTTTCAGTCTTAAATGGTTTCCATTTTGAAAAGAAATGTTTTTTCTCATTTGGTATCAGCATCATGCACTTTAATCATCAAGACATGAGGATGAATGCAGATTGCAGCAGCAGTTTACGCTGAAACCCTGTTTCTCCAGGGCCCTTTCTTCTTCTTCTGGGAATCTGTAATTTAATTTTATGCTAACGATGCTAATCCTTTGGAGACAGTGTGGAATGGACATGCTACATTATTTTCTGTGCCCTGGATCTTTTCAGGGAAAGATGACATGAGAGTGAAAATGAGAAGGAAAGAACATGTTATAGAAAATCTAATCTTTACCTGAAATTCTTCCGTTGTAGTTTTTTTCTTTTTGAACAAAATCTATCTTTAAAGATAAATTTTATCAGGTTTTGGTTATTAAAAATAAAATTTGGGGCTGGAGGTGTAGCTCAGTGGCACAGTTCCTGCCTGGCAAGCATGAGATCCGGAGTTCAGTTCCCGGTACCAGAAAATAAAACAGTAAAACTAAGATGTCAGCCGCTTACAGCCCAGTTATTTAAATACAGGATGACCAAAAATAGCATATTTTTCATTAATTTTATAAGACAATATAACAGGAAATATTAAAATGACAGTTCTATCAAATTTGTTTAATAAAGAATCGATTGGTAGAAATGACACCTGCCCAAGCACCACTCAGGGTAAACTGCTAAGTGCTTAGTTGCTAGCGTTTCCGTTTTTAAGTCTCTTAGCAGGAACAGCAGTGCTCTTCTCTGGCCTGTTGGTTCCTGTGAGTGGGGCTTTAAACCTCTGGAAGTGAAGGAGGTTCATCCATGCAGCAGCTGTTTACAGAGTATCCTCTGCAGCCAGATGCAGGCCAACCACTGGGCCACAGCAGCGAACAGAGGAGCCCTTTCCTGGTCTCCCTGGCCCACAGCACCTGTTCTCTTGTCATTTTTAATATTCACTGAAGGATGGCAGAATTGAAACTCAGAAGCCGGGTGTGGTTGCACACACCTGTAATCCCAGCACACAGCAGGTTAAGGCAGGAGGACCACTGCAAGTGTGAGGTCAGTATGGGCTACAAAGTGAGCCCAAGACCAGCCTGAACTGCATAGTGAGATCCTGTCTCAAAAAAAAGAAAGAAAAGAAAAAAAAATTCAGCTTTTTGTCTCTACAGTTAAGTGTTTTTGGTGTCAGGTTCCTAAATGAACCAAAATGGTCTAGAATATTACCATGGCTGTGTGTTATGCCCTAGAAAGGCTGCATTCATTGTGCCTCCCATGTAATTCCAGAGTGGTGACTAGCTCAGCGCGGCTCTCAGAGGAGGACGTGGGAGCTGTGCGGTCCTCAGCAAGGGCCTAGTCCTCAGCATGGTCCTAGTCCTCGGCGTGGGCCTAGTCCTCGGCGTGGGCTTAGTGACAGGCTCGATTGATCGACTTGTGCTACTCTGTTTACAGCCTTGCTTATGTTACCAGACAGGGTGCAGTGTGTTATAGAGAACTCTTGCTTTAATCTTTTGGTAATACTAGGATTCTGATCCGCAGACCTTACATATCCTAAGCAAGACCTCTGCCACCGAGCTGCACCTCCAGCCCTTACTCTCTTTAAAGTTTGAGATGAGGTCTTACTAAGGTGCCCACGCTGGATCAAATGTGCAGTCCTCCTGCCTCAGCCTCCTGCGATACTGGGATTACAGACAAGTACCACCACACTCAGCCCTGCTGGACTTTTATATGGTGTTTTTTTTTTTTTTGTTTGGTTTTTAAATGTACAAGTTCTATGAAGTTTGAGGGGCATTTTGGATGCAAGGCCTTTAATTCGCTGATGAAATACTACTGTGCTATCACTAATGTGGTAGGTTCCTGGTTTTAATTTTGGTTTTGGTGTTTTTGCAGTACTAGGAATTGAGCCCAGGGCCTTCCCACCTCACAGAGCAATCTCCCCAGCCCCTCGTTTGTTTCGTTTTGTTTTATTGTTGTCGTTTTTGAGATGGGATCTTGCTAAATCGCCCAGGCTGGACTCAAATTTGCAGTCCTCCTACTTTAGCTTCCCCAAGTGCCAGGACTACAGGTGTACTGCCAGTTGTGGCCTTGTTTTTAGCATGAGAGCCTAAAAATATCCAGGCAGGAAATATCAGCAGAAGACTGTGATTCTAACTGTAATTATCATTAAAATCATTGTTATTTTTCTGTGTGGCAGTGGGATGGTCCTCAAGGTAGCCCTCTGCTGGACAGATAGGTGCACACGTCTGTACACACACACACACACACACACACACACACACACACACACACACAGTGCCTTGCTCAGGATAATCCAGAATCCTCACCATTCCTCTGTAGTCTGTAGCCTCTTGACCTCATACTGCTACAGTTGCTCGTATCTCCCAGTTATTTCTCTTTTAAAAAATAGTACTTTAATAGCAGTCTTCATTTGTTTGTTTTGTTGTTCTTTTGGTTTTTTTTGTTTTGTTTTGTTTTGTTTTGTTTTTTGAGGCAGGGTCTCACTATGTAGTATAGGCCTGGCGTTGAACTCACTGTGTAGCCCAGGCTGGCCTGGAACTCATGGCAGTCTCCTGCCTCAGTCTCCTGAGTACTGGGATTACTGGCATGCACCACCACATTCTTGAATGCATTTGATACTTGTGACCTCAGGGCCTTTGCTCATGCTTTCTCTGGAACATCTGCACAACCAACCCCCTCATGTCTATCTAGCCTTTGCACACAGAAGTGGTGTCACATCAGTGTCTTCTTTGGGCCCATGTAAAAATCATCCTCTCAACCCAACGTAATTCCTTTTTATTGCTTTATTGCCTCCTAGTGTTTAACTTAGGCGACACTCTTAAGTGCACCTCTGCTGTTTCCATTCTGTGTATTTTACTTACCCTACTTGCTAAATTTTTCCTGAATAGAATGGTGAACTCCGGGGGCCAAGTTTTGTCTTTTCACTGACTGCTGTCTTTTCAGCATACAGGGCAGTGCCTGTTATGTAGTAGACGCTCCATGTGTGTTGGGAGAATGGACTACTGGAACTTAGACATAAAGCGTTATACTAATAACTACCCTTCTAATGATGCGAGACAGATTCCGGTTTGTATGTCAAGTAAACACATCATATGCTTGAGGTTTGGAAAGGTGGTCAAACCAAGGGAGGTGGCACTGCCTGTAATCCAGCACGCGGGAGGCGGACACAGCAGGCTCACTTTGAGGGGTAGGTCAGCCTGTGACCCGTAGCGAGGTCTGTCTCAGCCAAAAGTGAAAACTAAGAAAGCAGGCAAGGAAGTTGGTCACACAGAAACTCAGCACGTCTGAATAACAACATCTACTCAATATAAATTCCTTAGCTAGACTGTTCTATAGTTAAAGAATAGACTATAAAAATATAAAATTAATAGAAGTTTAAATAAATAAATAACGATAGAAGTTGAGGTATAAAAATAATAGAAGTTTGATAGCTTAGGAACCCAAAACATTGCTTATTGTATTACTTGGCGAGAACAGCAAAAAGCTACAGACATTTTAAATTTTTTTATTTTAAAAAGCAACACAGAAAAAAGGATAGAAATAATACAGAAATTTTTTAAAAAGAAATTGAAACTAGTTATATATTGTATATTGTTATCTTAGAAATAGTTGTTCAGGTTACAAGATTGAGGCATAAAAAATGATCAAACACGGACAACACAAACTGTTCTTTTTGATGGACTAACAGAGTTAGTAGTACAGTTATCCATCTTGCACACATATGCATACATACAGTCTTTTCCTTTCTTCCATTCCTCCTTTCCCTTGCCCCAGTTGTTCTTTCCTTTTGAGCACTTTCTTTCCCTTTCATTATTACAATATCTGTTGTGTACTTTGGATCTTATTACTCTTCCAGTTTTTTATTATTTTTTTATACTAGGGAGACAATATGGTATTCAAAAATGTGAAATCTGATTTATTTCACTTTATGAGTATTGCCTCAGGTTGCCTCCATTTACCCATAAAGGTCTCAAGATTATCCCTTTTATAGCTGAGTAATATTCCATTGTATAAAAATACCACATTTTTTATCCATTCTGCGGTTGATGGGCATTTTGGTTGTTTCCAAGACTTAGCTGTTACAAATTGTGCTGCTATGAACATGGGTGCATATATATTTTTCTGGGAAGATACCCAGGAAGGGAATAGCTGGATTGAATGGGACTTCCAATCCTAATTTTTTGAGGACTCTCCATACTGATTTCCACAGTCTGGATAATATTCATCTGTTTTTTTTTTTTTTTTCAGTGCTAGAAAATGCTGTATCAGTGAGCTACATTCCCAGCCCTTGCATAATGATTTTAAAGAGAAGAAAATATGCTAAAGAATTCTCAGAAAATATACATAATAATGTATCATGGTGGCCATAGACATAGTACACTAACTGCTGCAACCCAATGTAGTAACATTTCATTAATCAAATTGAGTAAGCCAAATAATATTTGTCACTGTGCATCTTTTTTAATCTGCTCTTCCCCTCCCATTTTTATGTCGTTGTAGACCCTCCACCTGTGCTACGGGTTGACGACCGGCAGCGGCTGGCCCGGGAGCGACGCGAGGAACGGGAGAAGCAGCTAGGTACGGCGGGCCCGCGCCCACGGCCCGGTCCGATGAGTCAGGGGCGTTCCGGCGGGGATGCTGCCTCCTCCTCCTCTAGGGTCAGGAATGCTTAGTGGGAGCAAACGGACACCTCAGTGATCAGCCCGCCCTCTTGCTAACTTTGTGAATTTTGTAGATGAATCAAGAAGCGGAATTTAGTGTCATATAAAAACATTTGACTCATGGTAATTAACAGTCAACTCCAGCCTCAGGATTAGGGTCCTTTTATTTCTTAGTCCACCGTAATACAGTTCGTGTGATGCTAGAGGATCTGCGTGAGCAGTGATGGTGCAGCTTACACTATGCTGAGGAATAACATATGGGCCCTTTCTATGTGAATGGTTACCAGGCTGCCCTGCGGAGGAGCCCCCGGCCTCCATGTTAAAATAACACTGCTATTGAATGTCTAGACAGATGATACCATGTTTTACTAGGAAAGCCTGAGGCCTGGTGCTGAGATATCCACCTTTTCTCTGGTTACAGAGGCCCGTGTGAAGGTTAGCAGCCCCAGTGTTTGCCAGTAGCCACCTGGCAGGCGGGGTCACAGGCCTGGCTTACCAGGAAACAGACCAGAGACCTGGAACAGGCCCTGTCTACTAGAACACTGGGCGAGGCGACCAGTGCCAGCAGTTCTCAGCTGCGCTGTCCATTTGTGCAAAGTGGGTGAGACAGGCGACTGTCTTGATGTACCTTGAAAAGATAAAACCCGTAGTCACTGTGGCCCTGCGTGTCTGGGGTGTACAGGCGTTTGAAAACTAAGACTGGCTTAGGTGGCTGAAATCTTTCCAGCAAATGACCCATAACTTCTCTAAAGTTCTGCCGTCTGTACAAATTCATATTTTCCTTGGGGGACTCAGCCTGTCTCTTTACTGTTCAGACTCCAAAACCCTAAATGTGAAGCCTTCTGTGGCAGCTGCTTTTCAGGTGTGTTGCTGTTGGTGTCCTCTCCCCCTGGGCCTGTTTCTCTCCTTTGCCACAACGGCCATCATGCTGCCAAGAGTTTTTGTAGCTGCAGATTAAAATAACATCCTGGAAAGGAGCAGGCACTACAGGTTTTTATTTTTTGTGGGGTTTTTGTCTTGTTTTTTCTGAACCTACCGTTTACTCCCAGGCCACATTTCCCCTTGTCGGATAGGCTTCCCGAAGCAGGCTGACTGCTGAGAGCAGCTGGCTGAGGTCCTCAGGGCTCCTTCATCCTCCCGTGCACAGGGCCCGTCGCTCCCTGATAAATACTGTAACACCTGTTGGACATTGTGACCAAAGCTGAGAGAAAGAGAGCTCCACAGCAGAGCTATGGAAGCCAGAAGAGACTCCCAGTGAGCAAAAATGCGAACATGGTTATTGTTCTAGGATGGTTGTTATTTGCACAGATCCATCCATGGATGAGCATGTTCGTCCTCTCCTTCATCCTTGAATGCCAGTTGGATCAGGTGTGGTACTGCTGGCTCTCCCCTTAGAGGCACAGCATGGATTCGTGGCTTCGGATTCGGGTCTGCTTGCTCCAGAGCATCAGCACACCTAAGTTTAAATCTCGCTGTGAATTCTCTTTTCCATACCTTTATGCTTGGGGTTCTTTATCTTTCAAAGTCAAGTATTAGTGGTGTGTGTGTGTAAATATGCTGTAAAGGTCGACAAAGTCATTTGAAGGGACACACAGGAAAGGAGTATAGGTCAAGGATACAAGAACAGGTGGCAAAAGGCATTTGCGAAGAGACCCAGCTTGCTCTTCAAGTTACTAAATGGATCAAATTACCTTTCACATGATTGTATTATCCTATTAACACAAGCTTGCTTTTTTTGGTGACCAGTTAAATAGTGTACATAGTTCTGTCTTCATCCTTGCCCCTGTGATGTTGAATATCACAGTTCTTCCTCTGATCGCATCTTTTTTTTGTTATTGGGGTCATAATTTTATTAAATATTGATATATTTCTGGTTTTTTTCTTTGCATTCATTTCTTCTTTTTATAGTTCAGAACAGTGCCTCTCTTGCCTATTCCCCCGCCCCTTAAATCATCGTAGTCAGGACCAAGCTTGTGAGGCTTCCCTCAGTCTTCATAAACACGAGGGTAAACATAAGCCAAAACACATATGCATATGTACATGTATTAAAGTGTCCTGGGAAATCCAGCGCCCATGTAAAGCTGCACCGTAAAATGCATGAAGGTGATTTCTAAAGAAATCTTCAGTGCTTCGTGAACATCACGAGGCACCCCTGCCTGACTCTTGATAAACTGAGCTTTGCCCAAGCTGGGACACATTGGGATTTTTCTGTAAAGGTTATTGGATACAAAGTCTTAAAGTGGGCTTGACTTGAAAACAAAAACTGCTTGGTCATGCCAACTGTTACTGAGATTTCAGACTTTTCAAGTTAAAAAAAAAAAAAAAAAAGAAAACTTCCATAAATTCTGAAAAGCAGAATTTATAATGAAATGACCAGAGAGACTGAAATGACCAGTGAAACTAACACGGATTTCATGAGTACTTTTTTTGTTTGAATTCACGTTTTAAAAAGCAAGGCAGTTGGAGAGTGGTTCTGCTTGCCTTGTGGGAGCAGAGCATTATTCGTGCTATTTTGCAAGCAGGAGAGATCTGTTAGTACAGCGATTCGCTATGGGTTAAATCTCGGAGTCGTGTTTAATGCTTTTATGATAGGATTATGTCACAGGGGCTGCACTTTCTACTCATCCTTCGATTTTCAGATAAAATGAGACATAATTCTTCATGTATGAAACTCTCCTGTCAATGGGTGGAGGATGTACTTATTCTCTGGAAGCTAATTTTTCTGCCTCAAGGGTTTTATAAGTGGTCTCCTCAACCTCTGCATCCCATCAGATTCTGTTTAGGCCAGTCCTTCAGACTTCTGTCTCCTGACCCCTGCCTCTCTTTCAGTTTCTCTCTTCTGACCTTTAATTTTGTTATTCCCCATCTTAGAGTGGGGTGGGAGTGGGAATCTCATTTGTTCTGGGTTCAGCGCTCCCTGTTGGTGATGTGGACTCCACACTCACAAAGCAGCAGATGGTTCCTGTTAATCTGAGAGTCAGCTTCTGTCCAACTGCACTGCCCATTCTCCACTCCAAAACTGACCTGTCTAAGGAACTGCTGGCCCAGTCAATTGTAACCAATACTTTTTTGGCCCCAAGAAATTATTTCTTTCAGCCATTTTTGATGCTTTTGCTGTTGCCAGGGGTCCTAGGCTCTTTCTGCCTGCTAATCAACCTGTTGGGTCTTGTGCAGAATTAATCAGTCTTTCTTTCTTGGCTGGTCTACTACTGTCCAGTGACAACTCTCCTCCCTGGTTTATTGGGCCAATTTTTGTTCCCAGTAATCAATCTGGACTCAGCCTATAACTGTCCCTAGCCTATTGTACAGATAGAAGTTGATATACTTTGTCCCCCAAACCCATTCAGTCACAAATGTAGCAGACTCTGTCTTCAAAATAAATTTTAGACCCATGACTATGTATTGCTGCTTCTGCCATCATCCTAGTCCAGGGCTCAATAAATTTATAGCTTAATCACTGACAATGCCTGTTGTCCTTCATACCTGGTCCATCTCTTCACAGTCTTCCTAGGGAGTCTGCAAAGGGAAAGAAGTCATAACAATTCTTTTAATGAGAAATTCTTTCTCATGTTCTACTGATTTTTTGCCACTTACATAAGTTCCATATTGTAAGCTTCTAAAGAGTGTGGCAATTGTCTCTAATTCTCTGTATCACACTACATGGCACCATGCTAAATACAGAACATTCATAAATACTTACTAACTTTTCCTTCCTGTATAATCTTCAATGCAATGATAATAATAATGACATATAATGTTTACTGTGAACAAACTGCAGAATACTGCCAGGCAATATTCTGTGTTCTTCATTATGTTTTATTATATAGAGTAGCACAGTTGGTACAGGGAATTTACTTGTGCTTTGTGGGGCAGCCATCATTGGCAATGCAAATTATGTAGTAAAATATTATTTATTTTATTTTTAAAATAACATTGTGATGATTAGCTTACAGAAGTAACTAAACAAATTTCAAAGGCTAGAACAGTTAATAGTCTTTCTTTCTGCTACTTTGGCTATTTAAGCATGTTTCTAGTATGTACAGAATCTCCAAGTTCCACATGAAAATTTCATAACAAGCCATCATGGCGTTGAGCATACCAAGTTCCCTACACTCTAGGACAATAGATTCCTGGACAGGGATCCTGTTTGCATTTGGAGGAAGAGCAAGTCTGTTTCGGTGTGGAACTGAGATGAGTAGATGCTGTACTGCCTCCCATATGACAGGAAACACAAGGGAAAATGTGAATGTTGCTGCAGATTCTGACAACCTTTTTGAGAAGAATTTTTGGCACTGACCTTCAGTTAGCCATTTGAGTCCATTAGGAGTAATAGATCTTGTTACTAATTTCTCTTCAGAAAGCACCACAAAGATGCAACAGTATGAATTTTTTATCATAGAAAATTTGAAAACCAACACCTCTTCCTTTTAAAACTGCTTTGTGGTATTTTAAGTCCTGTGGTCATTCAGCTTACAGTTACGGTGTGGTTAGTATTGAGCAAGGGATGCTGGGGTTAGTGAGCTTGATCAATTTTCTAACCTACTGGAACTGATAGTCCAGATGAGAGGCTCAGACAATAAAAAATCAAAGATTGCATAATATTTCAGCTAAAATTTGTTTCACACACCTCCTATAACCAATACATCAGGGTATACCCTCAGAAATCCAGAAATCCAGAATGTAAGCAATTCACACAAACACCAGGCCCAGGGCCTTGCACAAGTTAAGCAAGTATCCCATTACTGAGCTCCCTGTCCTCTAAAGCCACCATCTCTATGTGACCGTTAAGGCTTATGTCCAGGTGTCCCCCTAAAGCCTCATGTGGCCATAGGTGGGGCTTTTCAGAGGTGGCTGGATCTAGGGTTTGTGCTACCAGAACCAAGGACGTGACTTTGGGGTTGATTCACAGTATGATGC